TTTTGAGTTTTGCTGTCATTTGAGCAATTTTTGAGTAATTTTTGGAAAACCCGTTGTTTACGGAGCATTGACTTTGATTTGAATTATTGAGAAATGTACGCCCTTTGAGGTGATTTTTATTATGTTTAAAATATTACTTTGATAAATGTGAATGACTTGCCATTATATTTTTGGGGTAGAAAAGGGTGTTACAAGTTCTACTCAGTAGCATCCCCTCGTCCTCCCTTCATTGTGATCCATTGACTCAGCAACACTGAACCAACATTTATTACGTTCAAACACTGTTACCATATGTGTGTTAGCTTTGGCAGCTCCGTCCTTAATGAATTTCATCGAACTATTACTGAACAGTTGCCTAGATTGTAAGGCGGAACTCCATTTTAAACGTTTGATATCAAAAAGTACCCCGAGCCTAAAATATGTTAGCCTTACCAAAGCGGTTATCGGTAAGTTTCGGATGCCCTTGAATATAAAATTCATTGATTCAACGAGGTTTGTTGTCATGTGGCCCTATCATTGGCCATTGTTGTATACCCTGGTCCACTTCTCCAACTGAATATTGTCGATCCATCTTAATGTATATGCATTTGTCAATCTGATTTATTCACGATAGTGTTTGAAAGAGATTCTTGTAAGAGATGTCGTACACGATGTAAGAGATGCCTTACACAATGATTCCTCTCATGCAAAGGAGAGAAAGCGCTATTTCATTTGGCTCACCTTCTTACTTTCAAAGCATGCGCCATATGGTATGACGTGTATGTACAAATGACACAAAGCATGCATAATATGGTATGGCGTGTATGTCCAATAACCCATGCAAATCCTAATATCCTAACCTAACACGTGAAGAGAGGACTTGCACTATAAATATGTTACTCACAACTTTCAACTTTCAGTAAGAAAACTTTCAACTTTTGGCAAGTAAACTTTTCTTCTCACAACCTACCCTCATTCCAAGCCACAAAAATGTCTCTACTTACTATGGACGATGAACACAGAGGAACAATTGAGAATATTGCAGCATTTGTAAGTTTTTTGGTTTATTTGTTTTGTCTCCCCTTACTTATTTGTTTTTTCTTTCTAACTTAGTTTCATTATATCTTTTGTCAGGATGTAAGGAGATTTCGATGTCGTGTACATAACTATATACCACATGACCCAATCATAGAACCATACCTTGAATCACCCGGTTTCAGTCATTTGATAAACATGACTTCTTACTCAATTGACACTAAATTTATTCTAGCTTTGCTAGAACAATGGAGACCCGAGACCCACACATTTCACATTCCATTTGGTGAATGCACCGTCACATTGGAAGGTGTGTATATGTTGATGGGCCTACACATTGATGGTAAGGCTGTTAACGACAAAGTTGGGGTTGATAACCAAATTTACGAAGATTTGTTGGGTGCCCCTCTTTGTGAAGAGACAAATCAGACACAACGTGCAGGTCAACCCAGAGGTCAAGGTATACATTTAAAATACCTTAGAGAACATTATCAACGTATCACATTAGACGAAGAATTTACCGAGTATGATAAGATAATTAAAACTCGGTGTTATATTATGATTTTATTTTGACATTTTTTATTTCTTGAAAGTACTGAAAATACTGTAAATATTATGTATTTGCCATTGTTACGCAACATTCATAAAGTATGCACCTATAGTTGGGGTTCAGCTGTTTTGACCCATCTATATAGTGCCTTATGTAAAAATGAAAAAAAGATACTTGTACATTTTATAGTTGTGCCTTTCTAATTGAAGCATGGGGTTGGTCAAGAATGCCGACACTCGCTCCGGTCAACCCTAATCCACACACATTCCCTTACGCAAACAAGTAAGTTTATTTGAAAATATCAATCATGTATACTTTAATGAAAGGTTTATTTGTAACTAATTCATATATCTCACTTTTTGTTTTAGGTGGTAAGTTCTGGGAATGAATTACAACTGGTGTCCCAGAAACACAATAATCGTGTACCACAATCTTTTAGACCATAATGAACCAAGCGATGTAAATTATCCTACGATATTATACATTTGGCTATAAAATTAACACACTGCAATTTTCTCATTATGTATTTTGATTATGCAGTTTGTCTTGAGGTCGTATCTGGGTCTCGACCATCAGCCTAACCCCGATGACCTTGCAGTCTGGACAGCAAACACACAAATCATTTGGTTCACCACAGTGGATGCACCAAAGTGATCAAGTGAAACTGCAGTTCGACATGCAACAAGATATTCTAGTTGATCTGACGTGTTTGGGAGACTGACATCAATTGAGAGTAGATGCACAATGGGGTTACGATGATTGGAGAGACTTTGCTAAAGAGATGTGTAGACATTGGAAGAATCGACGTCGCCACATCTTAAATGAGCCTGTCATGGAAGGGGCTAGACCAAGTCATCAATATATGATTTGGTTAGGTCCGTTACAACACAAAAATTTGTGTCTGAGTTAACATATTTGATAGATCCGCGCCAACGTGCTTCGTCCTCATACACACATTAGTCAACAACAAACACCTGCCCAACAACCAATCCTACACCACACCTAACAATATCTACCCACCCAATCAAACATCCAAACCCACAACTTATTCATGCCACCCACCCAATCACAATAATAAGAGTCTGACCCTTACCGCCAACATCCACACAGCGACACCACATCTACCTATAGCCCCATGACTCATTCGACTCCATTCTAGCCCACCATAGCCCCCCACAAATGAATACACAGACATCCTACCACAAAACACCCAACCATTATTTGACTACCTTACCCCACAGTAGTCATTGCATCGTTTCTAAAACGATTCAATGTACCAATTCGGCCAACCATACCGTCCTCACCTAACCCAACCATTGTGTCCCAACTTCGAAAACATAGGCACGAAACTAAATTACAATACAAAAATTTGTGTCTAAGTTAACATATTTGATAGATCCGCGCCAACGTGCTTCGTCCTCATACACACAACAACAAACACCTGCCCAACAACCAATCATACACCACACCTAACAATATCTACCCACCCAATCAAACATCCAAACCCGCAACTCATTCATGCCACCCACCCAATCACAATAATAAGAGTCTGACCCTTACCGCCAACATCCACACAGCGACACCACATCTACCTATAGCCCCATGACTCATTCGACTCCATCCTAGCCCACCATAGCCCCCACAAATGAATACACAGACATCCTACCACAAAAACACCCAACCATTATTTGACTACCTTACCCCACAGTAGTCATTGCATTGTTTCTAAAACGATTCAATGTACCAATTTGGCCAACCATACCGTCCTCACCTAACCCAACCACTGTGTCCCAACTTCGAAAACATAGGCACGAAACTAAATTACGGCAACCCTGTTGGCAACAAAAAATAAAAATAAAAATAAAAATTTAGAGAAAATACGCCATTTGATATGACGAATGCATTTTAAATTAAGGCATGTGGTGTGTAGGCGCCATTTGATTTGCTATATATATATATATATATATATATATATATATATATATATATATATATATATATATATATATATATATATATATATATATATATATATATATATATATATATATATATATATATATATATATATATATATATATATATATATATATATATATATATATATATATATATATATATATATATATATATATATATATATATATATATATATATATATATATATATATATATATATATATATATATATATATATATATATATATATATATATATATATATATATATATATATATATATATATATATATATATATATATATATAATCAAATAATGCACGAGCTTTCATTTATGCACATGCGGCAAATGAAATAAATTCTTTTTAAAATTATGTTATTTTGATAAATAAATTAAAACTGATATTATTTTGGTGTTTAAAATGAATTCATATGTTATTCTTAAAAAAATTCACAATTTTTCCTTAAGAAAAATGAAGGCTGAGTAATAACATTTTTTTTAATAAATATTATACATGCAAGTATAACATAAACATAATAGATTTGTGAGGTAAACTTTTTGTTTCTTTTACTTATTTTGTGAGTGTGCTTCTACTTAGCTAGAGATTTCTTCTTAGTGTTTTCTTAATAATGGTATTAAAATTTGGTTCAATTTGTTGGAGTAGCGGGACTGGTTCTTGGTGTTGGTTCAAGAGTGAAGAGTTTCACACTTGAGGTTGATGGAGAGAATTTTGCAACTATACATTTACAAGATATAGTTATTAAATTGTATCCTACTCTTTCCAAAATATGATATAAATAAAATGATATGTTACAAATTAGTATATTAATTAAAATTTGTTATTAAAAATATAAAATATATATTTTTTATACTTTATTTCGAAGCATATATAAAATAAATAAAAGTTATATATAGATAAAAACTATACATTTTCATCTACCGTAAAGTAACAAATCAAAACAACTAGTAATTTTTACAAAAAAAAAAAAAAAGTTTTAATATGCAAATGAAACTATATAATATTTTAAGAAAATTTAATTAGTATTTAGTCTGCAAGTTCAAACTTGATTAACAAAAACTAATATTATATAAAGTTGGATATGTTAATTGAAATTTTAATTGAGAATGAAAGTTGTGTGTGCGAATTTGTAATAATATTTATTTATTATCACTTCTTCTATCATTCCTTTTTACATCTTGACTTTTTCTTAACACAAACATGTACTCTACTAATTTCCTACCCTTCAAATATTAAACTCGATTCCTTTTTAAAATTTGATGCAATTGTTTTTGGTATATTTTCTTATTCATTTGTCAACTAACTAAGGGAATATCAATGCAAGCCTTGAGCCAGCTCATGCCAACAAATCCTCACCCAAATTACCTTATTAATAATATTCCTCCCTAAATAAAAACCATCTCTTCTCACCTTTACACACAAACCTCATCTTCAATTCTTCTTCACTAACTCATCAAAATGGCCACTACTTTACCTCTTGTTCTCATTCTTCTCACTCTCATTCCCCTCCTAACTCAAGCCCAAAAAGCACCCGCACCAGCACCTTCCGGCCCAATCAACATCACCGAAATCCTCGATCAAGGTAGCCAATTCACCTTCCTCATTCGTCTCCTCAATGAAACTCAACAACTCAATCAAATTCAATCCCAACTCAACTCAACTTCACAAGGCTTCACTATCTTCGCCCCAACCGACAACGCCTTCCAGAATCTTCCATCAGGTAAGATCTATATATTGTCCAGATACATTATCTTGAGACAGCTCTGTAACTAACTAGAATAACTAACTTTTATATTGAATATCAGGAGCGATCAACAATCTCTCTGACGAACAAAAAGTTCAACTCATTCTCTACCATGTGACACCAAAATACTACACTCTATCCGATTTTTTAACCGTTAGTAACCCGGTTAGAACACAAGCTTCTGATAAAGATGGACCATGGGGTCTTCACTTCACTTCACAAGGTAACCAAGTTAATGTTTCCTCTGGAGTTGTTAGTGAACCTATTAACAACTCTTTGAGACAGAAGTTTCCTTTGGCTGTTTATCAATTGGACAAGGTTTTGTTACCTACCGAGCTTTTCGGTCCTAAGCCTCCAGCTTCTTCTCCGGCTCCTAAGTCGTCGAAAACTCCTTCTAAAACTCCAAGCAGCGCCGCCGTTGAAGGTGATGCTCCGGCTCCGGCGTCTAGCAAGAAGGATGATAGTGCGGCTGGAAGGAATGGTGGGTTTGGATTTGTTGTTGGGTTTGGTTTGATTTGCATGGCAGTTCTTACTTGATGAGCAAGTTTTTTATTTTTTATTTATTTTCAGTTTTATGTACTTTTTTTTTTTTTTTTGTTCTTCTTTGTCTTGGGTTTGATTTGATATGAACCTGGCTTATTCTTTGTATTTAATTTATGTTTTTTTTTCTTCTACATGTATATGTAATGCTTGTCTTACATGTTTTGAAGGATTTAAATGGCATTTTTGTGAGTATAAATAAGTTAACATTATAATATGCAATATTGTTTCTATTGATTAAGTGTTTGGTAGAATATTTAATTTCTTTTATCAGTAAAGTTTAATCACAAGAGGTGGAGGTATAGCGGTGCAAATCTACACCGTCGTCTAATTCCAATCAACCCTCCATTTTCTTGTTTTTTTTTTAATACTTTTGGGTCTTCCTCTCTCTTCAATAATTGGTTCACATTCTATAATAGGGAGTTTTCACATGAAAGAATCTTCTTCCCATTTTATACATATGTGAGACCAACTACTTGCGTCAATTTTGTTTTGTTTTTCTAATTTTTTTTTCTTTCTGTTTTGTGGTTTTTTTTTGTCCAACTCACTATTATTAGATTATATTTTGTTTAAGACCGGTCACATGCCCAACACCGCATATGCCCAATGATAGTCTAGTGTATGTATAATATACGACTGCGCCAACAAAAATAAGTGTATGATTGTGTTTATTATTCATTGATGACTCCACCTCTTTATTTATAGAATGACTTAGATTTTAATGTTAACTTTGTATGCCAATCCCACGCAATCACATTGAAATTGTTAAGTTGTTATTTTCATTATCACAACTTCAATCACATTGAAATTGTTAAGTTGTTATTTTCATTATCACAACTTCCACACGTAAAAGATAAAAAATAGAGAAATAAAATGGATTTCAATAATATTGATTGAATACTATGAGAAAAATATATAAATTAAATAACAAACTAATAACAATCTATATTAATTAAAGGGTTATTTATATAGTTTAACTAACCCCAATCTCAAAATATGAAATTCAATTTAGAAATCAGAATTAAGAAATAGCCTATATGCGTAAATATGTCAGCAGTTTGGTTTGAAGAGTTGATGGATTGAAGATAGACTATTTGGTTTTGGACTTGTCTCATACTAAATGGTAAACCATTTCAATATGTCTCGTTCGCTCGTGGAACATTGGATTTGTTGCTATGTAGATGACACTTTGGTTGTCGAAAAAAATGGTGATTAGGCGTTGTTGCAAGATGGAGAAGTTTTGAAGAAGATGTATTAACCATTGTGCTTCGCAAGTGGTGTTGGTGAGGGCTATGTCTTCTGCCTCGAATGTATTATCTCAAATTTTTGACACAAGTCTTGATTGTCAAGATTTAATAATATCAAAGATTGTTTAATGACTTAAGTTTTTTACTTAGATCGAAATGGTCATTCGACTATAAAGTTAGAGAAAGCATTCTTCAACGAGGTGTTTCCATCGAATGATTTTGATGATCTTGGCCGAGATTTGAATCAGTTAGTTAAAGTCCAAGAATTTCGTTAGTTTTAGGATTTAGTGAAATTTAGAGTTTGAAAATTGTTTATTCTCCACGCGGTCAAACGAGGCGTAAATAAAGAAGACCAGACAGTTATCTAAAGACATGTGGAAGTTTGTCGATAATGAACATTGCATGGAGACGGAAACGTGACATATTTTGCTTTGTCGACTGTTGCAGACGGTTATGTCAGGACTAGTATATAAGTAGCGTTCACTTATAGTTTTAAGGATCCGCATTGCTACACAAATTCTGTAAACTCAAAGTATCCATGTTCAGTGAGAAAAGAGTTGTGAGAATGTATGTATTTGCGTTCCACTTTATGAATTGAATTCTTTACTTTCAAGTCATTTATTACTTTCAAAGTTATTTTTACGTTTATTTCAATTTCAACTTTGATGTCAAATTTATTTCAAACTTATGATTTTCACACAATATGTCTTGCGATCTTTTCGAGTTTAATCCATTAAGTGAAATGAAACTTGTTTTTATTTACTAAATTTCACACTAAACAACTTAGCATGCCCAGTGGGACTCGATGTGTGAAAATTTACGTTTTTTAATTTTGCATAAGTTATTCATTTATGAGACTTCTCAAATTAGAGTGTGCATGAGTTTGAAGAGTGGTAAGATAACCACAAAAGACGTTAGAAAACAAACAAGGGATACATTATGAGAATGGTTAATCCCAGAAACAACAACAATGGAGAACAACCATCTAATAGCACGAGAGCAGGCACGATCGTTGCAAGTTCGACTATGGAAACTGACTTCAGCCCTTTTGCCACAAGTTTCATACTGCCTATGCTTGGTCGAGAACAATCTTATGGAATGCAAACATCAATGATGACAAACTTACATACAATTGCTTCAACATTTTCCGACAAGGCGGCGACTACATATTTTCCACTATTGGCATCAGAATCGGCTATAGGTAACCCTGGTTGAACTATGCATCCTCAATTGGGGATGGGATTCAGTTCTCAAGCAATGCCGACTTTCACCATAAATTTTGTGATGACGATGAGACAACAAATCTATGAAACGAGGGAATAGTCCTTGAAGAAAATACATTTAACCAGGACCAACCGTTTGTGCCTCATGTAGTCGAACAACAAAGGCTTGAGGAAGCTAATCGTTTGCTAGTTTTAGTGGTTAACCGAAATCAGGATGTCGACCAAGTGGTCCATCAAGTTCGACAAACCTGGTAGGATAGAATAATCTTGCAGCCATAGTCAAAAAAGTAATGGCATGAATGGTATATGTATTTGAAAGTATATTGAGCCTATGGGAAGAGAAACTTAAGGTTAAGGATACTAATAAAGTTTGATAAACCAACTTTTTCTAACACCTAAAGGCTCCTAATTAAATATCGATTTAACTTAATTTAACTTGTAGTCTTTAATTACATGTGAGTACTTTCTGAATAATACTAATTTGCATAATTCAATCTGACATTAAGTTTTAATGTGCAGTATGTGTTGGTTGGCCTGGAAAATAAATATGAGAGAGTAATTTGATATGTTAAAAAGATAAAGTGAGAATTTTTAAAAATATTTTGTAGGGGTGTAAGAATAAGTGAAGGGTGTAGGATAAAACTTTCGGTTTAAAAAATGTAAAATACTATTTGGGCCTATAACATTTGTTTGAGTATATTGGGCATCTCAGTGAATAGGCCCATTAAGAAAATCTCATTTTCTTTTTTCCAACGACCAAATGAAGATTTTACCCCATACTCCTACACTTATACCCATACCCCTACATTAAAAAATATTGAACCAAAATACCCTTGTATAAATAGTTATAATGTGAGAAATTTTACACTTTCATTTCATTTGCACTTCAACACTTCCGGAACACCCTTTTTTCACATACAAACCGGAAGTCTTCCAGCAAGTCATCTGTAACTACATTTTTCACCAACATATACCGGAACTCCAATAGTAAGTCTTCCGGTTTGTTGTATTTTTTTGTTTGTTCACCGGAAGACTTTATGTATGTCTTCTGGTTCATATTTTTTTTTGTTCACCGGAAGTCTTTGATCAAGTCTTCCGGTACATGGTTTTTTACGTTTGTTCACCGGAAGTCTTTGATCAAGTCTTCTAGTTCATGCTTTTTTTTTAATTTTTAATTTTTAATTTTATTTATTTATTTATTTTGGCAGTGGTGCGCACACGAGGCATAGATGGTAGGATCCCTTCTCGCGGACTAGGACGGGGCGAGTCATCTAGAATGGCTGAAGAATAGCATTTTGATGCATCTACATCAGCATCCGAGCCTGTTGGATATCCAGGAGGACCGTACGATACCTCTGTTTTAGTTAAGTACGAACATCATGTTGCTAGACATATATGGTTCGGTGAGGTAAGTAAACAAAAATTATTTAATATTGAATAAAATTCGAATTTTTAATATTGAATTTTATAATATATTTACTTTTAATTGTTTTTAGGAGAGAGGGTCGAAGAAAGAGTTAAAGGTAGCGGGACATGGATTGAAGTTGATTCAGAGGATTCCACTACAGCTACCCAGAGAGAGATGGAGGGTTGGATATCTAGGTCTGGTCTAGCTTCACTCCAGAGAACCAGTTTAACAAAGATAGACACGAACCTGGTTTCCGCATTTGCAGAGAGATGGCATCTAGAGACATCTTCATTTCACATGTCGTTTGGTTTGATGATGATTACTCTAGATGACGTATCTTGCCTGCTTCACTTGCCCATCAGGGGAGTCTTCTGGAGCCCTCAAGATATCAGTGAAGCGCTTGCTATTGAGTGGGCTGTTGATTATTTAGGAGTGTCACGGAGAGTGGCACAACAACAAGTTTATGACTGCAGGGGTTCCTACTATAAGTTGGAGTGGTTATATGATCGATTCGTAGAGCATAGAGCTTCATCTAGATGAGATTATGCCACTAGAGCTTATTTGTTGATGTTAGTGGGTTCCACTATTTTTGCGGACAAGACATTTACGCTTGTCAAGGCACGATACCTCTCACTATTTATAGACTTGGATGACTTATCAGGATACAGTTAGGGAGCAGCTGCGTTGGTTACTCTTTATAGATATCTCGGAGATGCTTCCATGTTTAGTTGTAAGCAGCTTGGTGGTTATCCGACTCTCCTACAGGTATTTATTTTAATTTAGTATATTTTGTTTTAATTAATTTTATCTAGTATATTAATTTTATTTATCTAGTTTATTATGTTATAATTAATTATTTTAAATTTAGTAACAATATTAATTTTGTGACAGTGCTGGATTCATGAGTATTTTCCAACACTTGGAAAAAAGGAGAGAACTGGATACCAACTAATAATGTGGGTCTCCCTCGAGCGATGAGATGGTCCTATAGGCAAGGTGCCTTGAAGGTGGATGACTTGCGACCTATTTTGGACGAGTTGACACCTGCCGATGTCATATGGTGCCCATTCGAAAATCATAGAGTATGGCGTCAGTTTGATGAGTTATGCCTATATAGGG